CACGACATTCTAATTTATTGAGATGCACCTGTATATATATATTGTACGTATTATATTTTATTTTTCAAATATAGTTCATTATTCTTGTCTGTTGAAATAAAATTAATATAGTGAATAAAAAGAACAATGACACTTGACAAAACAAAACAAAACAAAATAAAACAAAAAAAGTGATTTTTCTCATTTAACATGAAAAAAGCACAGAAATAAAGTCACATTTGCAAAATACCCAAACATACTATATCTGTATGTCCCCCAGGGGTAGGATGCAATAAACAGAGTAGGAAAGACATTCACCAGACCTAGACAGATAAACAACAACTATATTATTGGAAGGCATGTTGAACAGCAGGTCAATTTTTCATACTTAAAGAGCAGCTGAATTTCTTCAGGGTGCACTCAGACCCAAATCTGCAACAAATCGAAAAGGGAAACTGAAAAATACAGTTTTTGCGATTAGATGAGTAGCTATTTGTTGGAAGTGCGTAATCTCTTAAAACGAGACTTCCTGACCGTGGCCTCTGCTAACACAATTTCTGTCATGTCTCTGCTAAACTGTTTCTCCCTTTTTGTACATTTTTAACTGTTCAACTCTTATTACAGTTTCTCTACTATAAAGTGCATGCATTGAAAGGTTTGTTTGGGAGTTCCTATTCTGGCATCTAATTACAGAAAATTAATTCAAATTACTTTAAACCAGCATATTCCTAATAATAAATGCCACAAAATGCTCACTGAACATCAAGGAAACCCATGACATATACCTCCTTTTATCTGAAGGAAGCACATTGGAAACATACATCCACAAGTGTCATGTAAACTTCAATAACCACAGAATAGTATAACAAGTGGTACCGACCTCTCCCAAAGGAACAGAATAACATTAAGTTCGTCCTAGTGGCAGAGAGAATTGTGTAGAACGGCTTTGGGTGACTATAACAAGCATCTCAGTGAAAATGGAGCAGAGGCTGAAAGTCAGTCTGCTGTTTTTTACTCTGTTTTTGTCCATACTCATTTATTCGAATCACACCAGTGGCTTTAACCTGGATCTGAACAACTACACCGTCTTCTCTGGCCCTGAGGACAGCTACTTTGGTTTCTCAGTAGACTTTTATCAGTCAAGCAGCAAAATGTGAGTGGTGGTGTCCATAGCATAAGCTCTGCATGGATTAGCTGGTTGACTGCTTCACAACCTTCATCCAACACATTGAACTGATGCTCACACTAATTACTCTCTTCATTCAACTATAATACAGAACCATTCAAAAGTTTGGGGAGGTAAGATTTTAATGTTTTTTTACAGTAAAAGAAGTCTCTCATGCTCAACAAGCATGATTTAATAAAAAAA